AAATAGAAACTTATAAGAAATGCATTCATAGTCACTGTACACATATTAATGTAAAATTAAGAGCTCAAATGTGTACAACAAAATAGTTCATTAACTGTCTAATCAGTGAACACGTTTCTATCAGAAAGTTCATCGCTAAAAATACCGCAATGAGATAACACCTGATACCATGGAGGGAAGAAGAACAAGGAGACAGCAGTAAGTACCCATATCATGGGTGATATGGTGGTGGGAGAACTATGGGGATTACACCTATAGCAGACATCAAATGCTGTACAAAAATGGATAATCAAGTCAGAAAATAAATTCAAAATAAGAAACAATGAATACCGAAAAATTCTGCTAGTGAATGAACTCATCTGATATTATGTATTGTTACTCAGTTAGGCTTTAAAATTGTACCTGGTCAATTACATTGTTTTACTATAAAATTTTTATTACATGGGCCCTCCCTGGTGGCGCAGCGGGTTAAAGCACAGCACTGAGAATCTAAAGCCGCTTCCGCATGAGTTCGATTCCCGCCTGCCCCGGAGGTGACCACATGGCGTGGCAGACCTCTCCTGACCCGCCCGCTGCTCCCCTCAGCAGTGTACTTCGTCAATCTGCCTGTTCTGCTCCCCACTCTGTCTCTGGTGAATCCTCTCACCCTCTGCATCTCTGGCCTGTACCCCAGTTCTGTATGAATAAATAAATAAATCTTTAAAAAAAAAATTTTATTACAATCACCTCAATGATATTTTAATACTGCTGAGTAATCAGGAAATTCTATGTAAGAATAAAGGAACTAGCAAAATCCTAAATCTTCAGAATCCTGCTCATTAGAAACTAATTAATCATTTATTCTTTAGCAGTAATGAATAAGGAAATTAAAAAATGTTTCTCTCATTCTTTCTCTTTCTTTCTTATTCTCCTCTCCCCTCTTGCATGGTAAAAAGAGATTCTCTATTTTAAGAGATGGTCTATATTCAACACATTTTCTTATAAACCCTGCTCTCAGTTTGAACACTATTTATTTTAATTGTACTTTAATAAATACACTAATTTGTAAAATTATCAATATCTACATTTGTAAAATTACTGAATAGAACTGCAATTTTCTCAAGTTCATCATCTATGACAGATTCATTTTCTGTGACTGTGTTATCCTCCTCTAGGCAAAACACTTAGCCTAGTACTTTTCAAAAAAGTTACTGGAGAAAATTCATGTACTAATACATTGGTGAATTCACATTCTTTGTTCTTTTTAAAAAATATTTATTTATGCATACAGAACTGGGGTATAGGCCAGAAGTGCAGGGACAATGAGAAGATTCACCAGAGACAGAGTGGGGAGCAGAACAGGCAGATCCGATGAAGTACACTGCTCAGAGAGCAGTGAGCTAGACAGGAGAGGTCTGCAGCACCATGTCGTCATGCCGGGGTTAGGGATTGAACTGGCACTGAAGCGGGGGCAACTAGGTTGCAGTGCGGAGCTTTAACCCACTGCGCCACCAGGGAGGGCCTGGTGAATTCACATTCTACTGAAATAATGAGAATTAAGTCTTTGCTCTGAACTCTAGGGAACTCTAGCTTGTTTATCTTAGTAATTCTCTTTGGGAAATGGTGGCCAGTCTACATCTTGCCTGTTTCTTGTCATTTTTGCATAGCCTGAAAATGATTCTCATGAATATTCATGGTAAGAAAAGCAAAACAATATATATTCAGACTCTCATTGTGTTTGTATGTCTTTGAAGAGGCCATTCCTCAGTTATTACTGGTAGGTTTAAATGGTGGTGCTAACAAATACTGCCAATTCTATACTATAATAAAAGAGGAGACAGTTTACAAGAAACTTGTAAATGATTTAAAACTATATTATTCTGATCATAAAAACAACACGAAAAGCTGGAAAAATATATCTAGTTTCAGTTAGAGAAGTCAGTCTGACTGATAATAACTTCTGCTTACATTCCTGATATAAGAGGCTACTTTTAGAGTGTAAGCTTGTATTTATGAAAGATAAAGATGGGCTAGTTGAGTTCCTATGTGACAAAAAGACATAATAAAGTGGAATATTATAAAATAATGAAAAAACCGGGTTCTTCTTTAGTTTAATATCTGATAATTTTAATATCTAACAAATCTCAAATCCCAAAATAGGAAATGCTGTCTTATTTTATTTTATATTAACTAATTTATCTATGTATTTTTCACTATCCCACACAGAGTTTTTATTTTAGCACAGAAAACATTTTTGGAATGCTAAGTGAAAAAAATGATTAAATTATTTTTAAAAATCTCCCCTAAAGCTTATCCTTATTTTATTGGTTGAGTCATAAATCTTTTCTTCAATACAATTTTCTAACGGTGCTGCTAATATTTATTTTATAGTAATTTTAAGATCCATGAAAAATAGTCCCTATTTTTTAAACTAGCAGTTGTCTTCTACTGACATGAAACATGAGTGAATTATTTCATATTTAAACAAAGCCCTTTGTGTAATTAAGTATTGAGTATTTTTTCTATTAAATGTACAGGTTTATTTTTTAATTAAGAAAATATTTATAGTGGTTATTTTAGCAGCAAGTATTTTACACATTTAGTATACTTTTATAAGAAAGGAAAGTTACCTGTGGGTATCTAATCCATACATGGCTTAACATACACGTAAACATGAATCCTTTTAAACCACTCTCAGCAGCAACAGAAACTGTACAGTCTATTCTTATCAAAACAACTGGTAGTTACCTATCTCCCCACACACTATTTAAGTACCTCTGTTGAAATAAATGGGGATTTTTTTTTTTCTGATCACATACTGAGGATCCCATAGGTTTTTGTCCCAAGCAAGCTTTCACAGTTGAAAAGAGTGGGGTAATTTTTAACCTTTAATCTGACTGACACAGAAGGAATTAGGCTCCTCCATCACAGGCCTTCTTAGAGTTCATTATTATTTCCATACTATATGCTATTCAAAATTTAAATTTTTCATTTAAGGTTTATTAATGGCTAATGGTAGGACAATCTTCCTTTCCCTACTCTAATTCTCTTTGTTATTGATTTAACCTATATATTAAAGATATTTAATATTTGATCTGAATACATCTATTTGTACTTATTTGATAAATATATGTATATTAAATTTTTTAAAGGTATAGAGATTACACTGTCTTCAATTTTCCAAATTAAACTATGAAATTACTTTTATGAGTGCCAAGACTTTTTCCTTTTAGATCTTGACATTAAGAATACTTACATTTAAGAACAATTTCATTAGTACGTAAGCTCAATTACTGCATAAAACAGTATCACTGGTAACTATAATAATTATTTACATAGAATTTTATCTTATATATTAAATAAGATAAATTTTATAATTTATAATTTTACCTTATATATTAAATACAGAAAAATATTTTCATTATTACTAAGGTGAGTTGCCTCCTTAGCACAGTAGGTAGTGCATCAATCTCATTAATACCAAGTTTTCCATGATAAATTTCCTTTGTGGTCCTTATTCATTTGAGTATCTTTATCACTCAAGAATGTGAGATAATCCTAAATATAGTAGTTAGTAAATGATAAATAAAAGGTACAGTGAATATATATGTGTGTGTGTCAGTGTGTATGTGTGTGTGCACAGGTACATGCCTATTCCTAATAAATGATGAGGCCATATGTAGAATTCAAATCTTGATTCAATCTGATGTTGTTTTATAGTTCAGATAATTGGGAAGAATAATTTATGGATATTTCATGAACTCCTAAGTAAAAAGGTAAATTCGGAATAGATTTTTCACGTTCTGTTCTAATGCCTCAGAATAGATTTTCCACATTCTTTTCTGGTGCCCTACACTGATAATGAGTATATGTGTTTGTTTATGTATGTGTGATTCTGTAGCTCTGTCTATGTGTTTAGTGTGTATCATTAATGGTATTGTTTTTAATAGAAAAATGAAAAAAAATGGTGGGATGAAAAGGTGTTAATTAAATCTAAAAAGTAGAAAAGTGAGAAAAGTCTCTGCTCTATATGGGAAAAACATATAGAATGTAAATGTGGAACATGTTTGAGAGGGGTTTGTCTATAAGCAAGCTTGAAAGGTTAAAGGGAAGCATTTTGGGATCAGCAAAAAAACATTTAGGATCCAAGGAAAAAGGCAGTTATACAGAGATAGTTTTTGATTATTTAGAAATTATCTATATACAAAATGCTAGGTACAAGGAAAAAATCTAGCAAGGATGTCAGCAACAATAGATTCTAGAAAATAGGCAAAACTCTTAACTACAGAATAAGGATTTTGATCAGGAGCCAAAATTATGAGATACAGAGCACTACTTAGACACTGAAAACATTTGAGTTGTTGTCCAGAAACTTTCTATTTATTATAACTCGGAGTAAAGCAGTAAGGTCATATGAGAGACAGCTTCAAGTTACCAGTAAATTCATTGGTGTATCAGTTGCAAAGGTATAATGGTATGTTGGTATATTTGTAATGAAAGAGACAATCTTGAAAGTAATTTGCTGAATGTGTATTTAATTCATTCACAATCACATTCACATATATCAATATTTACAATTAGGAGGGGAATATAATTAAAATATTGATAGACAGCAAAATGTATACAAGGCTATATTTCTATATGCATGAACTAACTCAGTTAAAGGCCATATGACCCTTTCATTAACTGATCCATTGAACTACTGGCTTATTAAGTCAAAAAAGAAACAGTGAGTATAAGGACATAATCTATACCTGGAAACATTGTTAACAAATTTTTACCAAAAAAGTTCTTAAGATTTGTGCTGGCTAGCTGAAAAGAAGTGCAGTAATGTAAATGTTGCTCATATGAAAAATTAAAATATACTCTTCAAAAATGTTCATTTTATATTTTTCCATAGGAATCAAATACTACTTTCTATATATCCAAAAGCACCACAAAAAAGCACTACAGTTTAAAAGACCATTTTTTCTAGATTATCTTTATTTTGAAGACTTTCTGGAAATTTATATATAGACTAAATGGAGATGATGAATAGCTCAATATCTGAGTTTGTGTTGTTAGGACTCACCAACAACTGGAAACTTGAAATTTTCTTTTTCTGCATATTTCTGTTGGCCTACACAGCCCTTATGGCAGGAAACCTTCTCATTGTGGTCACCGTAACCTTTGACTCCCATCTGCACTCTACACCCATGTATTTCCTCCTTGGAAATCTCTCCTTCCTCGATATGTCCATTTCTACAATCACCACCCCTAAGATGATCACAGATTTTCTCAGGGAAAAGAAAACGATTTCCTTGTGGGGCTGTATGGCTCAGATGTTCTTCCTCCACTTTTTAGGAGGGAGTGAGATGACTCTTCTCATAGTTATGGCCATAGATCGGTACGTTGCCATATGCAGACCTCTGCACTACACCACCATTATGAACCGCAGGGTGCTCCTGGGCTCCGTGCTACTGTCCTGGGCTGTTGGTTTTGTGCATACAATGAGCCAGATGGTCTTTATGATCACCTTGCCCTTCTGTGGCCCCAATGTAGTGAACAATATTTTCTGTGACCTTCCTCTCGTCCTAAAGCTTGCCTGCACGGAGACTTATGTTCTGGAGTTGCTGGTAATTGCTGACAGTGGACTGTTGTCTTTCATCTGCTTCATACTCTTGCTCATTTCCTACACTGTCATTCTAGTGACTGTCAGACGGCGATCCTCTGGAGGACTTTCCAAGGCTCTGTCTACACTGTCAGCTCACATTACAGTGGTCACTCTCTTCTTTGGACCATGCATCTTCATTTATGCTTGGCCATTCGGTGGCCTTTCAGTGGATAAATTTCTTTCTGTGTTTTATTCCGTTATCACACCCTTACTGAACCCTATTATTTATACTCTGAGGAATCAGGAGATGAAAGCGGCCATGAGTAGACTGAGGACCCACCATGTCAGCTCCAGACAGAATTTCTAGACAACAACCAGCATCAAGAAAGTTCTCAGTACAAAACCCACCTATATAGCATCCAAGAATGTGTTGGTAGTAATTTGTTTTGCCTGGAAATTTTTAAAATTTTCATAATTTTCAAATTATAAAAGGGTATTATATTTTTATGACGTGATTGGTTTTATTGCAAAGAAACTCATTTAAATTGAAATCCAGCTTGGTGTTTTTTTTAATGCAATAAAAATTATATAGAGAAAATGTCACTTAAATAAAAGCTCATATTAAGGGAAACGTTCTGAAACATCGAGTAAGCGGTCCAATTAAAGCCTGGCTGATGGACAAAAACATCTACGTGGAGCTGTCATACAAAAGTTTTGTCTAGATGACCATATTGAGAAGACTTGGATAGGGCTGATGAAAACAGTCATGATTAATAAAAAACAACAAAATTACAGTTGTTTTAACCCATATGGGGCCTTTATACAGTTATATGTAATTACAATAGAAAACATACCAGCACTTGGGTGTTGTTAGAGCAAAAACTAAAGTCACTGCATTTGGAATAAAGCTCCATTTGGGGATAGAAGAGCAGTGAAGAAATTTAACTGGAGGGAGGAAAAGAGCAATTTTTCTTAGGTGGTAGTGAAATGTCTGGTAATACTATCTCTCAAATAATATGGAAAATGTAAAAATTTATTTGAAGATATGGCTGTGGAGTTTTCTATGCAGAATGTTGACAGTTGTCAGATGATTGAGTTGTTTGTCATAAAGTACAAAAAGAGAACAACTGTCAATTTCAAGATTTAGAGAAAACACAGTAGGACTAAGACTGTCTCTACAATTCAAAAATAATCTCTAAACAAGAAATGATCTTGAATATAGAATCAATGATAAAGCAACAAGATCTTTTGTTAAGATAATCAGAAAGAGAAGACAGTGCCTTGCAGAACTCTTCATGGAAAGAGAAATGGGCCTTCCCTGGTGGTATAACCAGTTAGGGTGCAGCACTGCAAGTGAGCCGCAGCTACTTCAGTGCTGGTTTGATCCTGATCCCCGGCCTCGGTCTCGGAGGTTACCTACATGTGCAGCTCCTCCCCTGTCTAGCCCGCTGCTCCTCTTAGCAGTGTAGTTTGTTGATCTGCCCGTTCTGATCCCACTTTGTCTCTGGTGAACCCTCTCACCACCCCTGCAACTCTGGCCTATACCCCAGTTCTGTATGCATAAATAAATAAGCTTTAAAAAATAAAAAGAAAAGAGAAATGATTCTAATAACCTTGCAGACTTTGTCCCATATTAACCGGAGTCATTTAATGCATAAAAAAATCGGTCACAGAAAGAATAATGAATGTGATTTGGGAGCATGAAGTAAATCCCAAAATGGTTCCTAAGATCTTATGAAGATTATTCTGACCAAAAGATACCTACTTAAATTAAAAAGGATAGAACATATAAAATGAACAATCCTCTTGGTCTTAGAAGGGCACTAGAGAAGCAAATAAGCAAATAGCTAATAAACATTTGCAAATTTGTTCACCATCACTGCTCATCAATGATGTGTAAATCAAAAACTATAATGAGGTGCCACTACACATAATTGGAACTGCTTAATTTAGAATACTAGAAATATAAATTGTTGGTAAGTATATAAAAGAATTCTTTCATTTACTGATAGTCGGAGTATGAAATGGTATAGCAGCTATGGAACAGTATGATCATTTCTCAAGTAGTTAACATTTTTATCTTCTGTTCCACTAATCTGACTCATAGATATAATATATACCCAAGAGAAACGAGAGCAAATGCCCATATAAAAATGTATACATATTGGGGCCCTCCCTGGTGGCCCAGCGGGTTTAAGCTCAGCACTAAGAAGCTAAAGCCACCTCAGCATGAGTTCTGTCTTTGCCACGGAGGTGATCCACATGGCGTGGCAGACCTCTCCTATCTCGCATGCTGCTCCTCTCAGCAGTGTACTTCGTCAGTGGTCCTGTTGTGCTCCCCACTCTGTCTCTGTGAATCCTCTCACTGCCCCCACACTTCTGGCCTGTACCCCAGTTCTGTATGCACAAACACACACACGTATAACGTGTGTGCATATGTATGTGGATACATATATGTATTCACACACACACATATATATGTATGTGAATATATCTATATGAATGCGCTTGTTGGTTTTACTCATGTTCTTCCCCAAACTGAGAAAAAAAAGTTAGGTATTTTTAAAATGTGATTCTTCTCAGCAGTGAACATGGATAAATTATAAAGGAATAATGTTATAAACATGGATAAATTATAAAGGAATAATTTAAGAGGTCAGACACAAGGAAATAAACTGTCTATGTTTCAATTTACATCCCATTCAAAAACATATACAATTTACCTGTATCGATAGGATAATTGATACCTCTAGAGATGTACTTGACAGAAACATCCTGACATGGTACTGCAGAACTTCCAAAATTTCCTTTTCATTTTATACATTCCTTCCTCAAATCCATTCTCTACACAGTAACTAGAGTGGTCTTCTTTTTACAAACATCGTAATTACACACTTAAAGACTAAATGACATTTCCAGTGCCACATCTGCCTACCTGTCTGATAGCACTTTATGCATTTCTTTCATTTGCCTACCACTTTCTCATTACCATGGTCTCCTTTTTTTTTTTTTAAAGATTTATTTGTGCATACAGAACTGGGGTACAGGCCAGAGGCTCAGAGGCGGGGAGAGGCTTCACCAGAGACAGAGTGGGGAGCAGAACAGACAGATCGATGAAGTACACTGCTGAGGGGAGCAGCGGGCAGGCCAGGAGAAGTCTGCCACACCATGTGGTCACCTCCGGGGCAGGTGGGAATCGAACTCATCCCGAAGTGGCTTTAGCTTTTCAGTGATGTGCTTTCACCCGCTTTTCACCCGCTGCGCCACCAGGGAGGGCCTCCTTCTTATTTTTTAATCACCATCTCTTTCCTCCTTCATGGTCTTTTGTTTTCCATTATCCTTTTGTCCTGAAATACCCTTCCTTTATGTCTCATAGAGCTTTATCTGTCTAGTTATTCAGACATCAGCTTAAACTTGACTTTCTCCAAAAGGAATTTTCTAATACTCAAACATAGAACTCCATTTAACCCCACTCATTCTCCAACATGTCACTATTTTGTTTATTTGATCTCTAACAGTCTTATTTATTGCCTCATCCCCTTACTTTCTTGACAGATTCTAGCAAAATGTTAAGTCACTCAAACCAAAATCTACCTTATGTGATACATCATAACCAATGCCAAA